GGTAGTTTTCACCCCCAAAATATAAAAAGCAACCCCCGGCACAGGGTCCACCTTGAAGTAGAGGGTAAGTAGAACCTAAATCCAAATTTTGGTGCAAATCGGTGCTCTTTGGGAAAATTATACAGTAACGCCGTATTTTACGTTCAATGACTGGACTATATTATGCAGTAGGGGTTATTTTTGTACCTATTTAGACAAGTCGTATATTTTTTAATTTATTAAGGGCCGAGATTAATTTTTTTGACCTTATTATCTCCGAAGATATTTTGTTTTCAAAATATTGCCGTTAATTATTGAGCTCGTTGTGATAATGTTCCATGATTTAATTTTTATTAGAAGGGATACTCTAATAAACTAAATTGCTGCATTAAATTAGATAATGATGTTTTTAAACGAGCAATAAATATACTGGAGAGTTTAAGAGGATAACCCTTTCAACTGACTGATTTTGCTCCCGTCGCCGTCGATAGAACTTATTTTTTAATATTTACAGAGAATATATTAGGTATATATAAAAAATGAGCAGTACGTAAATAAAAATGAAAATTTTGAAATTGAATAAAGAAATATTTTTAAAGCTTTTATATTTTCGCTTTAAGCGTACAAGAAAAACTACACTTTTAGATTGTAGTCTTACATTTTAGTTCTCAAAACGCATTACTAGATCAAGAATTGATATATTTTAATTAAATCACTTAAAAAGATGTGCAGTGCTTATCGTATTTGTTTCTGAAGTTAAATCAAAATAAAATTATCATCTGCAAGGGGACACGTGATTTCAAAATGAATGTTTAATATTTATTGTTTATGGAAATTAAACTTTGCCACAACATTTATTTTTACTTGTTTTCTGCGTGCCCAAGATATCAATGTCAATAATATAATAAAAAACATTCTACATGAATCCTTTGTAGGACGTTGGTTTTTTATTTTCGTCTTTTGTAACCGCAAATCAAAATTACAAAATTGGGTACCTGACAGAATTTAAAATGTTAAAAAGTTTTGTGTTGATAACTGTGAATATTCAGTCAGTGTAAACTTTGCGTCAAAACTAGCACACCCCTAGAAATAGGCTTCAATTTCAAAGTTGATTTTCTCGACAACGATACCTAATCTGATTTTGAGGATCTCTTTTTTGAATTGTAGAGTTATTTTCCAATAACAAAGACGAAGGGAGAAATGTTTATCAAAATTCCAAAATTTCATTCATTTTACATTTAATTCAATATCTTTAAAACTCTGAAATAATTAATAAAAATAAATAAAAATTTTAATTTAAACACTCTGTACCTATATCGGAAACGAAGCATATTTGGACCTACGTTTATATGAACTTTTTGCACAAAATAATTTCGACAACCACCCCCTAAAATATGTCACACTTAAGTATAGAAAAAAATATATTTTCTTTGGAATAATGAACGTTTTTTGCTGAAGAAAATATGGATTATTGCTAAAAAAACATTTTTAACTTAAAAAATTAATAAAAAGTAAAAAATTTAGTACCTGCTCCAATAAATATATTTTGCTTTCTGGGAATTTACGAGCCATATAAATTATACTTTGAATTATCCCAGATTATCCCAAATAAATGTTTTTAGCAAATGAGATTAGAATAAGTAGGCTGTAAACATAAATTAGTTGTTGTTTATTAGGGTACATAAGCACAAACCGAGTAGGTAATTTGTTTTTTTTTTAATTTTTTAATTTTTTGATGAGGTGAACCCATAACAGTTACAACTTTTTGTTGTTTTTCCTTTATTTAGAACTTTTAATTTAATCCTGCTAGTGCTGCGAAGTACACGCCATCAGACAAATTGAAGACTGTTACATTTTTAAGAAGCCGACAGTGCCGCAACCACAGCACCGCGTTTTCGAAGTGAAAAGTCGACATTGTCCTTAAAACCGCGCGCTGGAAAAATGGTACCAGTGACCGATGATGTTTCAGAATAAGCAATGATTACGTACGGGTAAAAAACCGCGGTCATTCTCGGCAAATACGGACATGTCGGCTCGTAATGCGGTATAGCGGGTTCGAAAACGATCGTCCGTCAATGATGTCAATACACCACAAGAATCGATCTCCTCGGATGCGATCTGGAGTATAAAAATACGTCAAATGACATCTATACGAGTTCAGCGCGTACTGGGAATGCACGCCATACGGGAAAATTATTACATACGGGGTGTACCGTTTGTTACTCTGAAAAAAAAATTCTTGATTATCTTTAAATCGGGTAAAGATAAGAATGGCAACATTTGTATACGGATAAGTATCAACTGTGTCTTAGGAAAAACGTGCAAATCATTTTATTCCGGGTAGCAGTGGCGTGGATACAGACAGGCAGTTTGAGGGATGTAATTGAAGGAAAAATATGTTAAAAGTCGAAATTTCTTAAACTTCCTAAGGGCTTTGCAAACGCCAAAGGATAGTACCTAATACAAAACAAAAGAAAGCTAGTTGAAAATCGATAAGACAGAAGTAAATGTAACAATATTAATATGAAAAAGTATGTTGCTATGGTTTGATCATAAATTTTAATTGTCACAACGAAATACCTTTAATTTTTGGCAATATGTCGTATAATCAGTATATTTTGAATTAATTGGACGACATGCATTCAGTATACAGGCTGTCTTACGGTGACACCACATCAGAATATTTCAGATACCTACTACTTCGATTTGAATTTTGTAAATTTGGGCCCTGGGGTTTTAGGGAGATGCACCTTATTAATGTAATTACGAATAAAAAAATAGATTTCAATGTTCTACAAAAAACGCTATTGTATGTAGCTCGCCGAGTTTCATTCTTGTCCAATCCTCAACTGTTGCAAAATACCAAATCATAGATATGCTGCTAATAATGGACTCATTCTGCAATTTTGTTTTATTTGCTTAACGGAAAGATATTGCAATTTTAAGGTTTTCTGAAAAAAATTAGGGTTTTATATCGCCTACAAATCATAAACTGGCGCGCTGAGAATCCGCTGAACCGGTGACGTCACCGCATGGGAAGCCGATGCCGCATGCTTCGTGTGTTGTCGGTCAGTCGGGTATACGGGTGTTAGTTGCCTGTTAAATTTCGATTGAGTACGTTAAGATACCAAATTTTGTTAGAAATATGGAAGAAGCAGAACAAAAAAAAAATTACAAATATTGTATTATTCCCCAGTGTGAGAGCACTAGTGTGAAAACGCCTAAGAAAATAATAATGTCTCCGTAATCCTGTAGTGCGGATCTAAAATCAATGGTCTATTAGTCTCTACTTTGATTTGTTTTTCTTTTAATATATTTTATTTGAAAAATGGCTTATTTCGAAAGCAACAAAACTACCCTGCGTTATTTAGGTATGTAATATATACGTTTGCATCCTCTAGAAACACACACACACTTGTGTTTTCTATTGTTGATTTTTTGTAAATATTATACAAATACCCTAGGTACTAAGTATTTATATAAAAATACATAATAAATATTATATTATTAATATATTTCTAAGATATTAGGTAGATTTTATGTAGTTTCCACGGGAATAAAAATAGTAATAAGAATTTTGTATTTGATTAGGTAAATCTTTGAAACCTGTGACAGAAATAGACCACGAAAATTAGCGAAAAAAAGAGAGAAACTCGAAAAAATTCGCGATATTTCAATTTCGGAATTATTTTACTATTATTAAATAAATAATTGAAGCTATCGTTCATTTAAAAAGTAATTTTTTTACATATTAAGGCAAAGTAAACTTGTTTTTTTCAATATTTTGTTAGCTATTTAATTACGATTTAAATGTAAAATTAAAGTAAAAATTCACAAATTATTTTCAAATTATTATTTATTATTAAAAGATTTTAAAAAGAATAAAAAGCATTTGAATTTATTGCAAAATTCTCAAAATTAAAAAATATTAAT